TATATAATTACCCCTATGGTTCTAGGGGATCTAATTTTTTAGATCCCCTTTGGGGGTCTGGGTCTGCTGTACATGTCGAGGCTTCAGGCTCCAACTCACCACTACCCTAAACCCTAAACCCTAACCGCGTGGTTTAGGGTTTTTGGGTTTCGGAGTTTATAGGCTCTAAGGGTTCGGGGCTTTGGGGGTTGAGGAGGCTTAAGGCCATCTTTTGCTTCGACTTTGTTTTCAGCAACTGAAAACATCAAACCTTGGCCCTGAATTTTCTTATGGGCAAGAACTTTTACTGCCGGACAAATGTGGGAAATGTAGGGTCCTAAATGAGCTATAACCTAAACTCCTAGTATCCCCCTTAATAACCCCTATAGTAGTCCCCTATGTAATCCCCTATATAATCCCCCATTCAGGAGTTTAGACTATAGCTCAAATGAACCCGGTCTTCCACAGTGAGCCGAAACCTTTTAATGGGCCATGGTAGCTGAGGTTCGGCTTGAACGCCAGATGCGATTGCGTCGGCGTTTCGCAAAATAATCACTCTAGAATACCACATACGGACTCCCATAAGCGCATATATATATATATATAGACTATATATACATGTATATACATATACATATCTATCTATAAATCCCTAGACGGAGGCCCCGCAGAGCACAAGAACCATAGACGGTGCTTGGGACCCCTATCTTTACTACTGGGTTGCTATTGCGGAACTTAAGTTACGTTACCATAAGAAGTACTTACCGTATACCCACACTATGATAACTTCATTTGAATTCCTTACTGGCAGTTCAGACAACCATACACCCCCGTAATAGCAACCCAGACCAGCTGATGCGCCTGAGACTCCGGTATCTGGCAGGCATCTATCCAAAGCTTCTTCGCAAGCAAGAAGGACTCCTGCTGTGAGCTACACAAGTCATCGCAGCCATGGTTTAGTGTTTAGGGGCAAGAAGTGAAGAAAACAGCATACTAAGGGTAGACCGTCAGATCTAGGAGAAAAATGTAATCGCGACCGTCATGTAAGGTACAGTTCCATATCTTCCTCAACTAATGAGAAATTGGTCCTGGGACCCCAAACCCTATGTTCTTGTAGGTGTAGAAGTGATGGAAGGGGCAGGGAGACTTGGAAAGTATACTTATGATCCCTAGAAGCCATGTGATACCCTCCAGTTATTCCTCTTACGTACTACGTCCCCCTCACACTTCAAGTACACCCATCCAAAAACCCTAAACCGCGGAAAATTGCAAGACTGCACCAGGCCATCCTAAACCTGAAACTGCAGGTGTCGGGCTTAAACCTCTCCCTAAACCCTAAACCCTCCGAGCCTGGCAGTCCAGTCGTTCGCCAGCGAAGAAAACGTGCCACTTGTCGAAGTCCAGCCCTGCTCGGAGGGCTTTTAATTTCAAGCTGTTAATTTAGGGTTTAGGGTTTAGAGTTTACATTTTAAGGTTTCGAGTTGGCTATATAGGTAAGGATTATATAGGGTGATAAGCTATATGAGCTATAGTCTAAACTCCTAGCATCCCCGTTAATAACACCTATAATACTCCCCTATATAATCCCCCGTATAAACCCCCGTT